GAAAGATGGTGGAAAACATTTTACGCTATATGGTAATATTAAAAGCAAATATAGATGTAACAGGGTTAAATAGCCAAGACTGCATTTGTAGTAAGGGTTGCTTTTTTTGTTATACTCAGCTTTAGCTGTTGCTTCCTTAGCCAAGGAGTGTCACAGTACCCTTTCTTTGAGTCAAATATGCACTGAAATGAAAAATGCACCTGACATTACTATCTATTTCAGTGAGATGAGAGCAAGGGACCCCAGTGTAGCAAAATATTTGTCTCTTTGAAAGCATGTGAACATTCTGATCACCATAAGTAACACAGAGTTACATACGCTTCTCCATGAAGGCTCTGGGAATGGGTGTTGTCTTCATATAAATAACCTGCACAGGGACCAGATGGTTGGGGCTGGGGGTTGCTCTGCTCAATGTTAATGCTTTGCTGTATTCTGTTTTTGTCTCTACTAATGTTACTTCTCCAACGGCTTGCAGTTTTTTCTTTACTCTTGTGTAATGTCCGTACCTTTTACCTTCAGAACACCTCACTGAAGAATCATGTTAAGTAACGATCAAAAAATAACTGTCAATCAGTGTAGACATGGCAGGCACCGTAACATCATGTTCACATGTTATAGGTACAAGATGAAGAAGAAAATGCTGAAAAGCTGACAGCATGTTAAAGATGACTTGTTTATACAAGTGCTAAAGTTATGTTTGATATGTTAATGCAACCTCATTTTCTAGTAAAGGCCAAACACTATTAAGTCATTATCTGCATTGATTTTTCTATCTTCTGAAATATTCAATTCATTGTAAATCATCTTTACTCTTTTTGAGTACCTGGAACTAGGACCATCTTTTAACAGTGATCTGGCTCATCTTTCTGGGTGAGCCTTGAGGACTTTGCTGAGTGATGTTCTCCTGGTCCACTTCTTGACCTCTCTGTCAGTGTCACCTTTAGCAGGTTTTTGCAGTTTATTGAGATTTCCCTCAACACTCTTGCCTGGATAGTCACTGAAAGGGGTCAGCAGCCACTGCAGGTTGAACTGGTGCCTCTCACAAACGTTCTCATTCTGCTGAATCATGTTAGCTGGTGCTCATTAGTAGTATAATGGTCTAAATTAGAAGATTGGAGGGAAAAACAGGTGTACTTGCTGTCTATCCTTTCTTTCCTGTCTGAATCTCTTAGCCTTTTGGTATGTGCCCTGCTTTGCTTTTCATTTTGTGTCTTAGCTGCTAGTGATATGTCCCATGCTGAGTACAAGGGTATTTGTTTCAAAAGACTGAGTGCATTTAGAGAAACATAGCCAGGTTGCATTGTGGAAATAGGATTAAAGAGTGCCCATTGCTGGGAATAGATAATGTTGAGGTGAAAACTGTCAGTTGGGCACTGACAGTTGCTCAAGGAACAGTTGGAGTAGGCTTGAAGAGGTTCACCTTGTGACTTGAGGGTTTGAAAAAGAGAGCAAACCTATTTCTGATTGGGTTTGGGGTTTTTTTGTATCTTCTGTATTTCCTCTTTGGCTGCAGAACTCTGAATGCGCACAGTAGACCATATGATAAAGCTAATTCTTGGCAGATTTTTTGTGTCATAAAATGACGTTACCATTTGCGAGACTTTAATATCTTTTACTTAGCAAAGTCTTTAGCATTCTGATCACGGCATATTCTCTTTGACATCCATCTATGCTGCTCTCATATTCCTTGATGTATGCAAAATATCTGAGGTAAAGAAGCAGTTTCCTCAATTAACAGCCCGTCTTTCATAATGTGTTACATTCGCAGGAATGTCCATGTAAGTGGACAGTTACACATCAGATCAGATGTGTAGACAACCTATGTTGCACAAAATATTTTGTCTCTGAATTTAAGAAGATTCTGTTTGAAGGTTTCCCAAGTATGTATTTTCACAAGTTTGGAATAACAGGATTTAGACATTCTTATTTAGAATATTTAAAATTAAACACGTCCTTTAGCTTTCAGCTTTCTTAAAAGGGTACATCCAACATTTCCTTTCTGCCAGTACTGAATTGGATGATGCCTTCTCTTCACTGTGCTGCAAAAAGTCTTTTTATATATGTTTTTAGAAGGAAATCCAGTTTCTTACTTGCAGCTTGTTGGCATCTTAGAGCCCTGGAGTGAACCAATAAAAACACATGTTCTGTTAAAGAACATCTATTTTTACTGGACCTTTCTAACAACCAATGACACAGAATTAAAAAAATGTTGGCTGAAATGAGTAGAAGGGATGCATTGTTTTAAATTCTATTTTTAAAACTTTTCTTTACAGCATTACACAGAAATTTCATAAGCTCTTGTTCTTGTCTAAAAGAGTGTGTACTTTCAGAATGCTATTTTAACGTTTTAAAAGTAGTTCAGGTATCAAAGTGTTGTAAAGTATGAAATTTCGTAGACAGCTAGGAATAAATACATTCTGATTGATAATTCAGAACATCTTCTGTTAATACATTGTTTCCAACATATTAAGACACGTATGTTCAAAGGTCAGATTAGATGCCATTTTTTTCAGTGATACCCTCAAAATAGATTCAGGTTGTATGCTGATTGAATAAGCCTAGTTGTTGGTTTAGGTTGGGTTGGTTTGGGTTGGGTTTTTTTTGGGGGGTGGGTTCAGATATGAAGATTCTTGTGGAAATAAAATTAAAGATTACTTACAAAATGGTAAAAGTAATCATGTCAAGGTTGACTTGATAGGCATGTCCATCCATTTTGTTACTTGTGCTGCATCTTTATTATGCATGGTCTATATATGCTGTATGATACTAGATTCCCACTGCTAGTCCTGTAGCTAGGTTTTGCTCTTAGCATATTTTCCTTTTTGGAATAAAGACAATAGCATGAATATAAATTAATATTTTAAAGGTAGATTGAGATTTTTGCATATTTAGTAATATTTACTGTAAGAAACCTGTGCTGTTATCAAATTGGGAATTCCAAAGCACTGTTTTGAAGAGTGTTGGCAAAGCAGAAAATTGGGAGGCCTGCTGATCTTACATGATCTAGAGTATTGTAATAATGCCTGAAGGAACAATTATTTTTTTCGATGGTGTTTAGATCATGTATGCTACAGAAAAAAAAAAGCTGCTAGAGAAAAAATGCATAATATAGGTTTAGTTCTTCAACTATTAGAACCTTCATGTCTGCAGATGTAATTTTCATGCTGGACATGGAAAAAGAATTACAGCTGTCATTCTGTGGTTTGTGGGGTTTTTTATGTGTGAGAAATATAGACATTATATGTCTCAAGTCTGTAAAAATATTTGCAATCAAATGTGTCTTAACAGTTTTTCTATGTTTCGCTATTTTAATGGAAAGTGTGTCTTTCTCTTTTTCTTGCAATAAAAAAACTTTACAACAGACTCTAAGAGAATGCGCTAGGCCAGAGAGATTTGCTGCCTTTAATATAAGTAATCCTATTAGAAATGAGCCCAGATTTCTAACAGAAGTAGTGAAATACAACAGATACATGAACTGAATTTTTTTAATAGTGCTGTTGGACACCTACAATTACTTAAACTGTTATTTCGAAATTTGTAAATTCAAATATAGGATTGAATCATTCTGGTTTATATACAATGATAGATACCTGATATGCAGTACATGGCTATGGACTTATTCTGTGTTTAAGAAGTATATGTATTGGTATGTTTTTAAAATTTCTATCTTGAGATCCTTAAGTACTCCTTGTTTTACTTAGACCTCTGTTATAATTTTTTCAGTCATACAGCTCTCTATTTCAGAGTTTTCCTTTCTTTGTTCTTTTTGGGGTTTTTTGATTGACATGAGCCATACTTTATTATCCCACATACTGAATTGCTCAGTAATAGGTTGTATACACGTATATGGGAAGCTCAGTTCTGTGTTGTCCAGTCACCAAAATAGCACAAGAGAATGATGATTCCACAGCAATGCTTTTGAGACAGCAATGCTTACATGGGCATTATATAACAATTCTCATTCCTTTTTTGCTAGTGTTTTCAGGATATATTTATTAAAATACTTTTTATGAATTTATTTTCTTTTGTTCCAACGGAGTCTATCAGCTTTGGGTTTTGGTGGTGCTATCCAAACTACTTGCTTGTATTATACCATTGTAAAGTGTTCCTGCTAATATTCTAGTTCTCCCTAATTCTGATAGTTGTTCCTTTGCACCTTCCTGGTACTTTCTTTGTTTTGTTTTGCTTTCATCTCCTTTTTTTTTTTTTTTTTTTTTGAATATAGTGGTGTTTTAAGAAGGTAATGATCTGTCTGCTGACAACTAATTACTCTGTCAAACCAAGATAACTGGGCAAGACTTCTAACCATTACCATAAGAAATGGTGAAATATACTTTAGCTCACAATTTGTAGATCTTTAATCTTTAAAACAGATGTTCAGTGGGCAGGAGTAAGTATACGTGTATATGCATACAGCAGCAAATGTTAAATTTTTCATTCTGTCATGAAGTTAAATATTTAAACATAACAATCTTAAAACTTCTTTTCTTTCAAGATGAGGTTTGTGCCTGGAAATTAGAGTGATCTCTTAGCGTGAAAAATACAAGTATAAAAATTACATGTATATTTTCTAATAAAAGGCTGGGTCCTGGAAATTGGAGGAGGTTCTTTCATTTGCTTGCTTTTCTAAAAGCATGTATTGCTTCCTTTATATCCAGTTACTTAATACGTAAAAGCCAAAATCTAGCCTTACATTGGCATAACTGGGAGCAGAAATTCAACCTGACATTCTTAAGTCTTTTTAAAACATTCTGCAAAATGTCTTTAATACCAAACTTATCTCTTTTTTTTGGCATACAGTTAGACCAGGAAGAAACTGAATAATGATGCACATTTAGAAAACGTAGCTGTAGTATTGGTCTGGGATTGTAACTTGCTTTTTGTCTGATGATTTCACTACTGCAGAAATGGTGATGGGGTTATTTACGTTAATTCATTTGGCTTGTTGAAAAAAATATGCCCACACTCCTCTACTTAATGGGATTCTTTCCTCGTTGCAGTGCAAACGGCTGGAGCAGGAGCTTCATCATCTGAAAGAGCAGAACCAGACTTCAGCAAACAACACGAGACATCTGACTGCTGAAAACAATCAAGAACGTGCTCTGAAGGTAAATCTCCATTTCTTCTTGCAGGCAAATTAAGGTTGTAAGCCCCTGGTGCCAGCTTTCTGGGCTGCATATATCAGTTGTGTACATTTCAGCAGAAGTGAGCTATGGTGTTTGCCAACAACCCCTTCTTTAAACACAGATACAGCACCCTTCTGCTATGGTTTTATTTTATTTTGTGTATGAAAACAACAAGGAAAAAAATAACATATCCTCCAAATTATTGGGCCAGTAATTAGTGCTAAATTCTTAGGGATCTGTCCTTGCAATATTGCATTTTATACTGTGAAGAAAACTGCAACTATCTGCCTCATGGTACCTTTAAAACTAATATTTTAAAGCATGGCTGTTTGATCTGCTCCCAGCAGTGTGTGCTATATTAATAACATTGTTGACCGATACTACTAGTGACCGCGTAGTTGATACTACTATTTGCAAAAGGGTAGCTAGTTGGAATTGGGAGGAGGAATAATAAGTCTTGTCAATAAGAATAAAAATGAGCAGAGAGGCGGGAGAGGGTCAGAGAAAGGACAGTGAAAAGTGACAGGTTATTGCTGCTTTGAGAAAGGGAAATTGTAATGTCAGTGAAAGGGATAGCTATGTAACCAGCAATCTTTACTGCTAGTCAGAATAAGAGACTGTGCCAGGTAAGATGTACAAGCATTGTGCACACCTATTCAACCACTATATTCTTTAAAATCTCTTTTATGGATTGTGGAGACACAGTATGAATACAGAGGTTACTCTGTTGATACTGTGTCATTGTTTTAAAACTGTATTTGATTTAGGCAGTCAGATCCAAACCTATCACATTTATAGGCAGATTTTCCTCCGCCTCCTTTTTTTTTTTTATATTCTGGGAACACCATTATTCATATAACAGCTTGACCAGTGCAAAGGTAGGAATAAAGGTGAATCTTTGTGTAGTTTGAAATTTCACAGTTTAAAAAAAAAAATAAGTTGCGGATAAACGGAGAGAGGCTGTGTGCCACACAAATGCTGTGTATTCCATGGGTTTATAATTGCCATCAGAATCTATGGTGAATATTACAAAATCAGGTGTGCAATACTGAAAGCATTCCATCTTCATATTACTAGAAATACAGATTGTAAACATTCAGGGATGTTTCTGACCACAGTAAGTGTTGTTTTGAATCTGGTATCACTAAAATTTAGTGCTTGCTGAGCATGCTGCTTGTTGAACATAGTATTGGTTTTCATTAATTGTATGCTGACTTGTTTTTTCTGTGTCATTGAAAATATTATGCAGAGTCCTTCTGTTAGAAAACAGAAATGTTTTACTGAAACTACACTTTTTGCATTTAATATTGCCTGACATAATGCTTACAGAATAATTATATTTTCAGAACAAGTAGTGACTTAATAGTTCAGAGTGTTACTAGGATTTCATTCTAAGCCTGATATTGCTCTCCCAGCACCTAATCTTTAAAGAACTTAATTTCTGGTTGTTACAGGCATTTTTTGACTTTTCAAAGTTAGCGGTTAATTGGTTGTAGTCTTTTAGAGGTGAGAGTCAGGAGGAAGAAAGGAATTATTCTCAATTTTTTATAAAGTTGCACTTTTTTATTTATATTATTCCTCTGTAGAGTTTGTCTCAGTTCATGTTATCATTGCCTACAGTGAGGACAGGTCCATCGGAGTCCTTTTAAAAGGCCGATGGGTTAGGTTGAATCCTTGATCTTGAAAAATTTAAAATGCCCCTGTGAAATACTGGCAACAGTAGTTAGCTTTGATATACAGTATATGAACACTCGTCCTGACCTAAGCACTCATGTAAATGAAAAGCTTATCACTCCTTTTTAGTGTACCTACAGCCTAGAAAATATGGACTGGCTGGTAGAGATGAAAGTCATGTCATGTCAGCACTCTGTTAGAAATGGGTTTGATTGGTGCTCTGGGTCTGGCTGCAGCTGGCTGGGCTGCTCCTGCTATCAACAGTGGCAGAGCTCCCTGCCAGAGAAATATTCCGCTGGAGCCCCCTAACAGGTAACACCCTGTAGGGTCTTAGCACACACCCCCCTTGTGAAACCCTCTTGTTATTAGCTTCCACCTCCTGCCTCTTGTATGCACTTAGTAGCTCCTCTAAGCACTACATGCAGAGTGAACGTACAGACCCAAGAATCCCTTTCTGTCTCCTCTCTGCTGCTCCTTTTCTGACTGCTTTTAGAGAAATAGGACGGGCAGTTTCCCTCTCTGATGAAGGGTTAAATACCAACACAACTGTTTCTGTTTTCACCATGATCCAGAGAACTACATTTACTTTACCCCCCTCCATGTGCAAACCGGGAACTGCGTTGTGTTCTATAATTCAGATGTAAACACTGTCCTGCAGAAGGAGTACAGGTATCCCTTCTGTGTCTGTCCAGGACAGTTTCAGTCAAGAAAGTTGGGGGTTTAAAATTTTTAATTTTCCTTACTTTCTTGAACTTAATTAATATTATCTGATTTAGTTTGGCAAAATATGTGTTCTGGTGATAGGTGGCAAACGAGGAATTTGATCTGCTTTAGAGTAACAGAAGTGTAAACATCAGATGTGGTACAAGGATATTTGCAATCTTAACTGAATAAAAATACAGTAATCAGGATCAGCTAGATTAAGGATGGCATAAAAGTTTGTGATAAAAAATGAGATCAATACCCCTATAGGGTCTTGAAATATTTAACAACAAAACTTAACAGGTATTTCTTTCTCACTTTTTAGAATTATCTTAGAGTAGGGAATTGCTCAGAAGGACAAAAGCACAAAACCAGTCCACAAGAAACCTATTTCTTTCCACTGATGGTGCAGAAAAGCTGCAAGCTTTATTTCAGTTATATTAGCTCCCAGGGCTGCTGCCACCCTTGAGGTAGTAGCCACCCGTAGAGAGAGGCAAAGCAAGAGAGGGATAGATCGTAACTGTGGGAGAGGCGTAGTGGCGGTAAATTGGCCAGATCCAGGATGTGGAAGTCACAAAGATGACATAAGCAGTCTTGCATACTGTTGATTTTACACTTTTAGGTGCCATGTCACACCTGGGGATCATGTGACAAATAAAACATATGACACATAAGACATGCTGTATAGACCTATACTGTGCCATTTCATCTTACTGTGAGATACGACGTCTGCATGTCTGTGGTAAAATAGCTCTTCTTAACTAATCTGTCATACATACCAGTAGTATGTGATGTATGAGTTTCCATATTTAATGTATTTATTGCGCAGACTATTCCTTACAGTCATGTGGGCCACTCAGTTCCACAATGCCAAACTGGTACACCTAATTTTTGTAAAATTCTTATTGGTTATAGGGGATTGTATTAATGGAACAAAAAGGCCAATTTCAAATCTTCCCTCCAGGCAATGCCCACAACTGCACAGAGGTCATTCAGAGAAGCATGTGGGCCCCTATTTCCATAGTTAAAGTAAAATAATCCTCTTCTTTGTGAAACCATTTTAAAAAAGTCTCTTATAATATTTCAGATTGAATTATAGCTAAATCTTTTAGGGATAATTGCTTCCTAAGGGCCTATACATTTGTGATCTTAGTACATTTTCATAAAGTAACATCTGCAAAGTGCTTTGCAGTTCTAATGTGTCAGAGTCTATATGTAAGATTATTCATTTGTGCTTGGCCTTCATAATTAACATTTGGTCTCTGCTGATTCTGTTAAATGTATTCCCACAATACAACGAAATAGCTGATCCAATTAAACATAGAAAAGTTGCAGAATTGCTGTTTTTTCATTAGTATTCAAATATTGTCATGGTTCATTTTATTGTTTTTAGCTTTGTAGTGTGTAGTTTTGAAATGCAGATTTTAATTAATACATTTTTGTAAAGAAAAATAAAGATTTTGCCAGGTGTGTCCTCTTTACTCAGTTGAAGAAGAATAGGAAATAAGTCCTATGAAACACATAATGTGAAAATTCATGGAAAATTCTTAACTACGTTTGAATAAAACAAGGAGAGGTGGCTTTTTCTTCATAGGCCTAATTTATTTTTAATTAGGTGGCACATTCTTCATAATGCAGCTATTAATCTGCTTTAAAGATGAGAGACATACTAATTTTACTTCCCAAACAAACACTCAAAATGGAGAAGAGGGCTTTTTCGTGATGAGCCCTTCATTGACTAAGTGAGTTTACTCCGTCCAAGTATGATGTTGTTAGAACTTGTAAAGGTTATTAATCTCTTTCAGAGCTGTTGAGATGTTAATTTTTTGGTTATAATTGCTTGCTTTGTTACAGTTTTCTGTCTAATCAATCTTTATAGCTGTGAGTTTCTGTAGAATTGATCCTACATACTTCCATGGTTTTATTAAGCATATCATAAATTTAGAGTCAGAGACAAGAAAGTGATCTGAAGGAGCTGTAAGAAATTCATCTACAGCAGTGTCATAAAGCAATTGTAGTCAATGTCATCTACTTTCTGCTGACGCATAAGAATTGCGTTGAGGTCAGGGAGTCCACCATGCATAGCAGATTGTTAGTTGTTCCAGTGATCACACCTGTGAAAAAGCCACTCTAGAAAACTTAAGTATTTCCTGATGCCTGTCCTAAATTGTATGAAGCTCTGTTTTGATTCCCAGAGTTTCCCACCTTCTTAGGGTAGCAACCATTTTTCCATTTGGCTTGACAGTGGCAACCACAAAAACAAACCAAGCTGACTAGTCAACGTATCATCCATGAAAAGCATGATTCCAGGAGGATCTGATGTCATACAAGCTTAAAAAAAATCAAGAAAAGCTTTAATATTAAGTGTTTGCTATGGCTGAAAAGCATGGAGTATTCATGCTATTTAGGCATATAATATTGACTATGGAATAAAGAGCTGCTTTCAGAAGATAGTAACTGTGGCCCTTATCTACAAAAACTAAGTAATTCTATTTTTATGTTTAGAGCTTCAGAGATGAATCTTCAGAGCTTCCTTTTAACGAGTTTAGAGCTGATTTATGGCTATAAAGCCTCTGATTTGTTTCTGACAGACATACACACTTTGG